AATTTTATTGAGGACTTTCTCCACCTTCGTTTAACTTGTTGAGACTTTTTCTTGGCATCCAATTATAGAATCATATTTGCAAATGATCGACTTCATCAGTATGCCTTGAAACCTTTGGATCGTTATGAATGGTTGCTTGTACGAAAGGCTTATGTTTCCAGAAATCCAGATGTATTGTTTAAGGAAGGTATGGAAAACTCTGACATGACAAAGATTCTCTGAATAATAATGGAAAATATTTTCCCCAAAACATATTTTTCATTTCGGATAGGATAAAACAATTTGATATGGCAGAGATTCTCTGAATAATAATAGAAAATGTTTTCCCCAAAACACGCCTTTCATTTCGATGAGATGAAACAATCTAACATGGCAGAGATTCTCTAAATAATAATGAAAACATTTTCCCTGAAATATGCCTTTCATTTCAGATGGGATGGAACACTCCAACATGGCAGAGATTCTCTAAATAATAATGAAAACATTTTCCCTGAAATATGCCTTTCATTTCTGATGGGATGGAACACTCCAACATGGCAAAGATTCTCTGAACATTAATGGAAAATGCTTCTCTTGAAATGCACATTTTTTTGGATTGTATGGATCACTATTATAATCTAGAGATTCTTTGAATAATAATGGAAAAACGCTTCCCCTCGAACGTCCCTTTCATTTTGAATAAGATGGACCACTATTATAATCCAGAGATTCTCTGAATAATAATGGAAAAACACATCCCCTGGAACATGCATTTCCTTGTCGTAGACTTTGTCTTAGAATCTTAGTGAGGTGAAGTTTTATCTGTTAGTAGAACGAGAATGCTTCATTGAAACACACATTTCTTTTTCTTCAAATTGTATCTTATCCAGCGTCAGTCATTATATATATGAAAGATAAAGCAAGTGGTCCTTGGTGTTTTACATTTCGTGTTTCTTTATTAGTATATTATATATCATTTTCATAGACTTTTCCATCGTTTTCAATGACAGCTAAATATTCATTATCTTATCTCCCAAATGATATATTATTTGTGATTTTACATTGCACTGCTTCTAGTTTTATTAAGGACTTTCTCCACCTTCGTTTAACTTGTTGGGCATTTTTCTTAGCATCCAATTATATAATCATATTTACAAATGATCGACTTCATCAGTATGCTTTGAAACCTTTGGATCATTGTGAAGGCTACTCGTACGAAAGGCTTATGTTTCCTGAAATCCATATGCATTGTTTAAGGAAGGTATAGTAGAGTGTTTTTCCAAATATTGTTCCAATGTTGAACTTGGTTGTCATATCTTGAAGGAAACCTCTACCATGTGTGTCATCGAAGCAACTTATGTTTTAGCCATTCGATAGCTTCACATAAAAGAGAGGTTGCAAAAAGAATATCAAGTGTTGTCCTGCCTAAACCCAATGCATTTAAAAATGAAGGAAAAAAGAGCTTCTCCACTGCTGAAGCATGACTATGTCAACTATTGCCAATATATTCTCGATTTCTTACATAAAAAAGATTCCAAAAACATATTGCTCATGTGATGACACATTTAGAGGTTGTTTTTATTTTTTATGGAATCGTGAAAGCGACATTGTAATTGATTTTGTTCTTAGTAAGACTAATTAAATTCAATATGACATTTGTTATAGATTTGGACTATAAAAACAACAAACCATAAACATTACATTAAACAACAAACTATTAATCATGACATTAAGAATATCAAACCAACGAGTTAGAAATACAACATATCTATCACACACCTTAAACAGTAAATAAAAGCATAGTAATACACCTTAAACAGTAAATATAAGCATACACGCGCGTCCTAAAACATTTTTTTAATGTTGTTACGATGCCCAATTGAGTTTGAACTATACTTTTGGGTCTTCATCATCTATCTTTGTGTTCCCGAACTCATTCAGTTTTATGTGTTCGGTAGTCAAATTCGAAGCACAATCATCAACATCATCAAACTCTACAAACAAATCCACATGAGATATTTAAAGAGACTAGTATGTCTCAATCATTCCACAAAGGTTGACACCATCGCTTAGAAGGAACCTCTTAAATGAAACATGCAACCTACAATATAGAAAATATATTTTTCTTTTCCTCCTAAGTTTAACATTTCTTTCTATTTTACGTTTCAACTTCTTAAGTGAATTTTTTTTGTTTAAATACATGCTTAAATTTTTGCAATAAAAAATATTTGTTTGAATAGTAGTCATCCTAGCTAAACAACTCAAGATTTTACCTAGATAGATTAAAATTTTCTTTTACCTTGCACATATATATAGTCCTTAAAAGCGCATACTATAAAATGAGCCTACCCAATTTATTGTACCCTCTTTGTCCGTTTTCGTAAAAAAAATATTAAACATCATTCAAAAACATACTTTATATAAATACATAATAACAAATAAAGAAACATAACAAGATGGAAAAATCAAATAATAGACAAATACATAAAAAGAAATAATAAATACATAAAAAGAAACATACCAACTTGATACAAAATACATAAAAAAATAAAATACGATTCAAATGCATAATAAAGAAATAATTAATAAAAACATTACAATTTTATTAAATCTATCAATGTCTCCTAGAATGTGTTTCGCAGTGTGGTGGTCGTCTAGTTCGAGAATGGTTTCTTCTTATATGTTGCTGCTCCTCTTCACTCACATCCTCATCATCATCGTCGTCATCCTCGTTATCTTCATTGTCATCATCGGTCTCAACAACATTATCTCGTTAAAGGGTGAATGTCGATGTATTACCTTGGTAGAATAAGGATCCTGGAGGTGTTTGACTGACTATCCCACCACTCCCTGAGAACTGCAAAAAATATGAAAAATCGGACATCGATGTATGTGACGCATATTGTGGGTGTAGTTTTTATGGTCGAGGACCACCCACAAGATAACTCGCGTATGAACAGATTGTCGGATCCGCAAGCATAAACAAAAAATACCAGCCAAAGGATGTCATAAAATTCTGCGGCCCCTATGCGTAACCATACATTGTGGCATATGAACCGATGGATTTGGAATATGAACTGGTAGATATGGCATATGAACAGACAGCAAGGGTGTCTGAAACTGAGGCAGTGTCCCCATGTAAGATGGAGGGCTAGGGATGTATACCGGTGTCGCTGGTGGTTGGTGTGAAGGTCTCGGTCACATAGATGCAGACGACCCGAAAGTGTCTGCTCTTCGCCCAGTAGTGGGGGACAATGATGTTGCGATTTCAGACGTCTTGGTTGACGACAATGAATTAACCCCATCGTGTTTTCTCTAAAAGTAAGAATGATTTCTCATTTATGTTGAATCATTCTATATAGCCAAGTGAAACCATGCAACCAGTTTTTGATATTTATTGTTGATGGGGCAAGTGTTGAAGTTGGATCTCCCACATCACCAACCAATCTCTGTGTTTCACCAACCAATACACCTTTTTCTTGCCTTGCCTTTCAATGTTATGCATGTTGTCCTTATTTCTTGGTGCTTCGGAAATGTATTGTGTAAAACCAAACTGAAGAAACATGCAATCAATCGGATGCCACTAAACAACAGTATAACAAATAAGGGTCACAACCGTCATCCATACATCCAATAGTAGGTGGGATGCAAACCCTCAATTCATTGTCCAAATACGACAACCATTTGAATTAAAAAAACATAGATTTCTTATCAAAATTAAAACGATAATCAAATTATATCAATACAAATAAATAAATAAATGATAACAAAAATACCTCTCCACCAACTTTTTGGTCAATCAATAATCGAATATCTTCTAATTTTTGTGATATATCACGATGATTGGGCGGTGTCTTCCCAAGATACTCTATGCATATACCCCCAAATCAGCATCTACCACACCACATATGGCAGTTCCATCTATCGGTAGCCCGAGTTGCATTAAAACATCCTCCAGTGTAATTGTGCACTCCTCACATGGTAGTAAGGATAGGCATAGGACCCGAAGTTGATGGGTTCCGACCCAACCTGATCGGGTCAGGTTTTTATAAAAAATTGGGTTCGAGTCGGGTCGGGTCAGGTTTTTTAAAGGTGGTGTTCGAGTTGGGTCGGATTCAAGATTAGGGTGAAAAATACCCGACTCAATCCGAAAAATTATAATTTTACTTTATATGTTTAGGAATAATTACAATAATACCCCTCTATATATTATTTTTTCCAATTAAATCACTGTTTTTATTTAATAAAAATAATATTTTTATTATTTTAGGTCGGGTCGGATAATATTCGGATTTTATCTCAAAAAATCAAGTCAAGTCGGGTCGGGTGAAGGATGTAAAATTTTTTGGTCTAGTCGGGTTGACCGAAACAAACCCGACCCATGCACATCCCTACTTGGAATATGGAACGTGTGTGTCTCTGGCCTCCATCTCTCAATGAGTGCAAAAATCAGGGCGGGTTCAAGTTTACAACGTCCTTCAACTTTTGCTAAGTAACCAATTCGAGCCATAGAAAAATATGGTCAGATACGTCTCGGTGTTATCACCTTCTAATTGTAAATAGAAACTTCTAATATAAGATCATTTTCCTAACAAATAAATTTTGAGCATTGAATTTTGAACTACTATTTTTATGTTCTTTAAATAAATTCTAACAATTTAAATCATATATAATTGATTCCATAATATTCGTAAATTTTAAGATTTTATTGGACACAATTTGTAATTGAAAAAAATGTTAAGATTAAAACATTTTTAAAATTGAAGAATGAAGATCATTGTTTTTCTTATCTTAAATTACTGGGTATAAGTTGAATAGTGAGTATCTAGTTAAATGGTGTGTGTGAGAATATATCCTCACGGGTGAGTATAAATTTAAATATTTTATCCGTAGTTGTTAGTTGATAGTTGATACGAAAATATTAGAGGATGAGGAAGTAGTATTCGTATCGGTCCATCCGTTTGCCATCCATAGGTTATCAGGACAACGGCAACTGTTACAATAAAACGATGTCGTTTGGTACAGCCTAGCGTTTTCTCGAAAAAAATTTAAACAAAAAATGCATATCGTTTTTCTTTCTCTACCTCTCCTTCGAGAAAGTATTGAAAAGTTTGGGTTTCGGCTCCTCTCGATTATCGAGACCCCCTCTGGTAAGTTTCAATTATTCTATTTGTTTTCCTTGTTGATAAAATTTAATTTATACTCGTTTTCATTTGAAATTTGTTGATATTTTCCTCGATAGGATTGGTTAGACTTTGAAATTTGCCTTTTTTGTTTTTTTTATGTTGTTTATCCGTGAGAAGAAAGGAAAAATAAAGCAAAATTTAAAATATTTATGAGAAATTTGCGGGAAAAGAAAATAAATTTTGTTTTACCGCTTAACCTAATTATTTGTCCCCCAAAGTGCCTAAAATAATTAGTTAGGGTTTAAAGTGGAGAATCTGATTTTGGTGATATACTCTTTGAATTTGTCGTAATTTCAGATTTGTTATGCCTGTTTTGTTTGTAAATTGATATGTTGAAGGAATTGAAGTATGGGAAAGAGGAAATCAAGAGCAAAGCCTGCTCCTAAGAAGCGAATGGATAAGCTTGACACCGTTTTTAGCTGTCCCTTCTGTAACCATGGAACAAGTGTTGAGTGCCGCATGTAAGTATATAAACTTCTTTTATGAGAAAATTTTCCCTTTGATCTAATAACCGAGTTAATTTGAGTTGATGCTTTTTGTAAATTTACCCATGTCTTTGATGAATAGAGAATAAAATGCTTTTATTATGTGAAAAATGATATATTGTATCATAATAATTTATATACGATGAGATGGTTCATGATTAATGAGCACTAAGTATTGGCATTTATTTATTTCAGTGATATGAAGAACTTGATTGGTGAAGCCTCTTGCGGGATATGCCAAGAAAGTTTCAGCACTGTTATAACAGGTACTTATGATACTGTTTAACCTTTGCTGGTTAAGAACTTAAATTTGTTTTTGCAGTCTTGATGTAAACAAAGTTGGGAACCTTTTGTTAACACATCCATGTTTCCTTTTGTTTCTGTATTTGCAGCTTTGACTGAACCTATAGACATGTAAGTTCATATCAGTGCGGTGCTTAGTGTTTACTCTTTGTTTCTCTTGCATGATCCCTCTTTACGTTTATTCTCTCTTGTTTCAGATACAGTGAATGGATAGATGAATGTGAGCGGGTTAACAACCTCGAAGAAGAGGATGTGGATCAGGATGATGATGTTTATGTGCCCAGAAAACGGGTTTCAACAGCTGAATGGGATGATTAGTAGTAGCCACCAACGTTTTAGAACTTTGCAAAGCCGTTAATTATGTTAGTTTTATGTGGGAATAGTTGGTGTGCTCTAACTGCATCTTATGATATGAATAGCCTAACTGATCCAAGCAAGCACTTTGTGGAAGGGCTATCAGATACTATTTCGTGTTGTGTACAAACCAGATTATGTTGATGTAATGCAATTACGTGATACTATTATGATGATGTTTTTGAGATGCTATTATGAATGGTGCTGCTCTCGAGTTATCATCGAAGAATGTTGAAGGAAGGATTTTCAATGGCGGGTGATGTTAACACGAAGCCATTTCATTTTTTTTTCTTGAATGTCATCTTGCTAGATACAAAATCATTACAGTTATTTACGGAAGCAATGAGGGTATAACCAGAAGACAACTCTGACAACATCTACGTGAATTGGAAACATTTTTTTGTATCCTTACCTTGGATATTAGGAGGAGACTTCAACGTTATCTTGCAATCGAAGGAAAGCTCAGACTACGATCTTATGGGTCTAACATTAACTCCTGACATGAAGGATTTTCAAGAAGTCACTTAAGATCTCCATCTTCAAGACCACCTCTTTTTTGGTCCTTCCTTCAAATGGAGCAACAAACAACAAAACTCTTTTCTTGCAAAGAAGCTTGATAGGGTGCTTATCAATCCCACGTGGGTAACTACTTTTCATCACTCATTTGTGGAATTCATTACAACTGGCGCATCAGATCATTGCATTTTACTAGTTTGGCTCAACAGGGAGGTTCAAGCTAACATACAAAAACCTTTCAAATTTTTTAACTTCTGGACTCTTTATCCTAATTTCTTAAATGAAGTTAGTTAGTCAGTCATGGCAACCATCCATTCAGGGAAACCCGATAAAGGTCCTCTTCCTAAAGCTTAAGCGTTTAAAAGCACGCCTCAAGATTATAAACAAAGAATGTTACAGTGAGATTTCGGCTCGGGTGCATCAAAAGAAAAAAAGAGCTTGAACAATTTCAACTATCAACTCTGCGAGGAGAAGACGTTATAGAAAAAGAGTTGATTTTACAGAACGAGCTTTCATCTCTTGAAGAAGCAGAGGTCATGTTCTTAAAACAAAAAGCCAAAGTCCAATGGTTAAAAGAGGGTGACAAATGCACAAAATTCTTCCATTCAATTATCTCAGGCAATAACAAAAGAGACACCATCCGAATCCTCATCAATGACCAAGGTAGAAGACTTGAATCCTTTGATGAAATGGCTGCTAAGGTGACTAAGTTTTACTCAGGTCTTTTAGGTACTGCGGATCCCGGGGTAAAAAACTGTGATCCTAATCTTCTGAAAGATCTGATGCAATTTAATTTGCCTCCAGATTATTCATCTAACCTTGTAAAGGAAGTAAGTGGTGAAGAAAAATCAAATAAGTCATTTTCAACCAAGGAAATGAAAAAGCTCCAGGTCCTGATGGATTCCCTCCATACTTTTTCAAAAAAGTGTGGTATGTGGTTGGAGAAGACGTAATAAAAGCTATTAAATACTTCTTTCAAGAGACTTTCATCCTTCCAGCCTTCAATGTTATTGCCATTGCGTTGGTTCCAAAAGTCACTAATCCCAACAAGGTTAGAGATTTTCGACTTATTTCCTGCTGCTCTGTTATATACAAGATAATTACAAAGATCCTAGGCAAAAGGTTGATAACTCTACTTCCAGGAATAAGCTCTCCCAACCAGCCAGCTTTTGTAAAAGGAAGAAATATTGTTAACAATACCCTACTTGCCCAAGAACTGGTGAGATGTTATCGAAGGAAATATATCTCTCCTAGATGTGCCTTGAAAATTGACCTACTTAAGGCTTTTGACTCTCTCCACTAGGGTTTCCTTTCTTCCATCCTTAATGCTTTATAGCTTCCTAATACTTTCATTGGTTGGATTGAAACCTGCTTTACTGAAGCAAGATACTCTATTTCTTTCAATGGAAGTTTGATTGGCTTCTTTAAGGGTGCAAGGAAATAAGACAAGGTGACCCTCTTTCTCCAATCTTATTTGTTCTTACAATGAATGTGCTCTCCAGAATCCTCAACTTGGTTGTTGCCAGAGGTTTATTTGGGTACCACCCTAAATGCAAAATGATTGGCCTCACTCACCTTTCCTTTACAGACGACCTACTTATCTTCTGTAAAGGAAACATTGAATTTGTTGCTGGAATCATTAGTGCCCTGGATCAATTCTATGAACTGTCTGGTCTAAAACTTAATGCTGCCAAATGCGAACTATCTACTGCTGGAATCTCTTTCAGAAATCTTGAGCATATTTTACAATCTACGGGATTCACACATGGTTGCTTGCCAGTGAGATACTTAGGGGTTCCTTTAGTCACAAGGAAACTTACTGAAAAGGATTGTGTAGTTCTTATTGAAAATATCAAATTAAAGCTTCATCACTGGTCGGGAAAACACTTGATTTATGTAGGCATATTAGAACTTATCAGATGTCCTCTTCAGTAGGCAAACTACTGGTGCAGACAGTTAATTATGCCTCAGACAATTATTAGCAGGATTAAACAACTTTTCTCTAGATTTTTCTGGAAAGGAACTGATAAAGCCGCCACTGGAGCAAGAGTTAGCTGGCAAAAAATCTGTCAACCGAAATCTGAAGGAGGACTTGGATTAAAAGACATCAAAACTTGGAACAAGGCATGTATAATACAACTTATCAGGAACAACCTTGCGGGAGAGGGATCATTGTGGGTAGCTTAGATCAAAAGCTACATTATTAAAGATCAAGGCTTTCTGTTCATGGAGGTTAAAGCAAATTCTAGCTGGTGTTTCAGGCGTTTATTGAAACTTACGGCAGTTGTTACTCCTGTTTTATCTACAGGATCTTCTAAAACAAAAGATTTCTAGAAAGAACTACGGGTAAAAGGAGATAAAGTCTCATGGCACAAATTGATATGGTTTCCTCTACACATTCCCAAACATAGCATGGTTATATGGATGACGCTTCTAGATAGACTCCCAAGTAAAGAGATGCTCCTTAGAATGGGAATTGTTACTGATGGCTCATGTATAATCTGTAAAGAGGCTATGGAGACTAGGGATCACCTGTTCAGTGACTGTACTCTGGCAATTTCCATATGGAATAATATTATTAATCTCTTAGGTTTAGGCACTCCTCCTTTACCATGGGTTACCATGTTAGATTGGACCTTTAGTGCTTAGAAAGGTAAGTCCCTTCTCACTACCATCTTGAAACTTGCTTATTACGCTTTTACTTATTCCATGTGAGAGGAAAGAAATAGAAGATTATACCGAGGAAGCACAAGAAGTGTGAAAGAAATTGTGAACTCTATTAAGGAGATTGTAGGTATTCAATTAAGAGGAAGGAATATAAATAGATTAGATAGTATGAATATTTACCTTTGTAATCGTTGGGGAGTTTAACAATCGATTTTGTTGTAAGTAGACTGTAATTTATCCCATTTATGTGATATTTTTTGTAGCAGAACTTTGCATCTTGGGTAGTAAAAAATTAAAATTATCCAAAAAAAAATCATTCACAAGTTTCGTAATTGATCAATTGTTAATGACTCAAGAAATGTATTTTATTTATTTATTTATTTATTGTAAGCCCTATTACTGTATTACAGACGGGGACATCTTTCATGGAGACTGAAAGATTTAGCATGCAATATTAAAGCCGTAGAAATATAATTAGCTTCTATTGCTTTACTATATAATGGGTATCGAAATGTACTAATGAAAAACAGCCATTTAGATTGAGCTCCGAGATTGTCTAAAATGGCAAGATGTTGTATAAGCCTGCTTGTTTTGAAATATGACTAGAATGTTGCCACTAATTAGTGAACCTGAGTCGAATGTCGGGCTAGCAGATAGTACGACAAGTGTATAGCAATACCAATATTCGTCCTAAAATCATAAAATGCTTATAGACCTTAAAGTCAAAAATAACTAAAATACCTTTTTTAGTGTTAAATGACCAGAATAGAGCAGTTTAATAAGTTAATAGATATAAAAGATTAAAAAGCCATTTCATAATGTTCTAGAGAGAACAAGCAAGATAGTAGTGGGAGAAGGGATGACACTCGCTTAGTTATGTTGAGTTCATGAAACATGTATGTGTATTTCTTGGTAGCTTTCGTTATGAAGTTATTCAGCAAGAAAAATGACCCCTTGTAACTCCAAACAAGTCTCATAAGACTTAAATAATGCTTAAGGGTCTTAAAGGGCAATTAGGAAGGGTTGGTGTAGATTTTCGTGTCCAAAATAAAGTATTTCTGGGTTTGAGTATCGATATTGGAGACACCACTTTTATAAGATCGACCTCTGTGAGAAGCAAAGGGATCAACTCAGTCATGGATGAAGAAGCCGTTGAATCCTTTCAAGCTCAAGCTCATTTATATAAACACATATTCAACTACATAAGTTCAATGTCACTCAAGTGTGCTGTTCAGCTTGGAATTCCAGATGCGATCCATAGCCACCGCCAACCCATCACTCTATCCGAATTGGTCTCCGCTCTCGGTATCGATCTGACGAAAGCTAGCTTCACATACCAACTGATGCTGGTGCACTCGGGTTTCTTCGCTAAGACAACGAGAGTCGAAAAAGACCAAGAACATGAAGCTTATGTTCTCACACCATTCTCCAAGATACTCATCAAAGAAAATATCAATTGTTTGTCACCCTTTGTTGTGTCGATGCTCAGTCCTGCATTGATGATGCCATGGCATTTCTTGGGAGATTGGATTCATGAAACCAAGGAGACGCCATTCGAGACCGCGAACGGGAAAACGTTTTAGGAGTATGGACCATGACCCTGAGTTCAAAACTCTTCCATTATGCAATGGAAAGTGATTCTCAAATGATGAATTTGGTCGTCAAAGACTGCAAACCAGTTTTTGAGGGTCTAAATTCATTGGTTGATGTAGGGGGAGGTACGGGAACCATAGCCAGGGTCATATCGGAAGCACATCCCCAACTGAAATGCACCGTGTTCGACCTCCCTCATGTTCTGGCTAACCTTCCTGCTACA